TCGACCCGCAGCAAACACCCCTCTTCTAGACTATCGAACCGCTTCACACGTACTCGTCCCTTTTATTTCGAATTGTAGTGGTTGAAGGGAGGTAGGAAAATAGAAAGAGACATAATTCATAGGGCATGTCAACTTGTCCACCCATCAATGCCCCAGGCGAGGTGAGTCGTCTTCCGCAACTACATGTCGAAGTGCGCTAATCGCATGTTTGTCTATATCCCATGTGTTTTTGACTCTTGCCAAATGTACCATATCTCCTTTACTTCTGACCGTTCCACAAATAGGGTGAAGACTGTTTCTTCTGTGCTGTAAGTCATCCCACATCTGTTGTGAACGTGCGGGTGTGGCTCAGCTGATTTGTAGGATGGAATACATTGGGATACACACAGGATAGGATGGGCAGTAGCAGGAGGTTGTGCGGCTCTGGTACGTCTGCTTCATTCGTCCGACATGAAGAGTTGTGTTGACTAGAAAGACAACCGTGATAACCCTCTTCACACTGACGATGCATGCAACGCATTATCAACAACCGGCGGCACAACGGCAAGTCATGCGTGTACTCTTGATGCCTTGCGTGTGAGTGTAATTCTTCTCCTTCTGTTCCTCTGGTCGCAATTCTACTGTTCTTCATCTTCCGCAGACTATAAGGTGAAACTATTTCGACATTATATCGCTGACAAGCCAGATATTCCGTGGTCTCATTCTTTTCTTATCGATATTATCAAAGTTACGAATACTACGTTTTAGCCGAGGTAAGTTCTTCTTTTTGCTACGAACAGGAATAATACTAATGGAACAGACGGCATACGAAGCTATCACCCTCTCGGCTTTCTTGATGCTCCTCATGGAATTAGTATCGCTCAGTACGACGGAGAAAGATATACGAGTCGCCTTATATGAGAAAGATAAACGTAATCTACCGTGAGTCCCGTCCCTTTGGGTAATGGTCATTGCTGACAGTACAGGTTCCCCGTGAGCTTGCTCATCTGTGCGAGGAAGATGAGGAAGAGACCTAACGATCAGTTCAATTGTTTCCGATTTCGAGCTTCAAAACCCTACTTCATGCACACGCTATCGTTTAGTGTGATGCAGTACGTAGTCATCAGACCCGCTATCTCCATCATTGGAATAGTCTGTGAATACTACAATGTGGTGAGTGTATAGTACCTCATGCTGCACATGAACAAAAATCCAAGCTATTCAATTCATACCGATGCCAGGAATCTGCGCTAACCTTCCAGCTTTGCCCACAGAAATATTCCATCCATTTCGCAGAGGTCTATCTCGATTCTGTCGATTTCGTTTCAATCTCTTTCGCCCTTTACGGTCTCATCGTATTCTACGTATTGTGCAAGGACGAACTCAAAGGTCGTCGTCCGTTGAATAAGGTAAGCTTACCATCCTGTCCACTCTTGGTTGAAGCTGACAGAATCAGTTCTTAGCTATCAAGGTTTGCCGATCGATCCTCTTCCTATGATGAAATCGCTGACATGAAAGCTTATCGTCTTTTTCACCTTCTATCAAAGTGAGTTTGTCCCGGATCAACCGAGAGAAAAAGCTCATGATCAGGCTTCATCTTTTCTATCTTACAGAATTACAACGTTATCAAAGGAACGACCTTTTGGACGGCCGATAATGTCTCTGACGGTTTATCTGCTTTATGTACGACTGTAGAAATGGTTTTCTTCAGTATTTACATGTGAGTCGTATCTGACTGGAACACATTTTTGATATAGTAGCTGATAGTTCCAGGGGTTGGGCTTATTCGTGGACGGATTAGTGAGTCACACTTTCCGTTTTAAACTCATTGAGTTATGAATCTTGAAGTTGAAATGTATTGACGTTACAGTACCAGTACAAAGATGAACCCTTATCAGCGAAAGACTGGCGTAGCTACATACTTTCAAGCGATATGGGACACGATCAATCTGTCAGATTTCGCTTTGGAATTATATCGAGCTTGTAAATTCTTCATCGATTATCTACGTGGTAAACCTGGTACACATGGTGCGCCTACGATGATGCAGAAGACGTGAGTATTTCTTTCGTTCCTCTCGTTCTCCTCATACCTGATTCACATCTTCAAATACGATTTCAATGCCAGAGCCCTAAGACACGTGCTGACTGCCACCTCGACGTCATACGTCGAAGGAAGACTGGCATGAAATTCCTTCTCCTCTTGCCCTTCGGATTCTTCTTGGTTTGATCTTGTCAATCAGTCTGAAAAGCCGTCATACCTTCAAACATCGTCAAAAAAGGGATGTACTAATCTCCAGATTCATGCCAGATACCATACCCATAGAAATGGCTAAAGCCAACGGTGAAATCAACGGTGCACCTAAACCTCTCCGATCACCCAATTCATATCAACGTTTAGCCGATAACAACGTATCTCCTAATCAAAATTCTCGACCATTACCTGATTTTTCTCAAAAGTTTGATACTTCTCAATCTCAAAACCCAACACAATACCCATTTCCTAAATATCCACCTCAACCTACTACCTATCCTCCCATTTCGACCCAAACAGAAAGTCATCAAAATGGTCAAGATCCAGTTCAAATGCCTTCTCCACATCCATTTGCTTTACCACAAAACCAGAATAATCAATCTCATTTATCCCCACCATCAGATTACGGACGTATGAATAGTTATAACAGTGGATTAAGTTCAAATACTGGTAATACGCAATATATGACACCTAATCAAACACCTGACGGTAGAGATTCTTTCGTTTCTGCTTCGGCAACTACTTTCCCTAATGCCAGACCGACGGGACAAGGACTCATTTCAGGTCAAAGTCAAGGGGATGGACAAGGATGGAGTCAACAATCACAGCCACAACAACGTACAGTATGGAATGAACAAGGACAAGAAGGATTGGAAGGAAATAGAAGAATAGAAGAGCAAAGGTTTAAACCTCATTTACAATATCCACCACCACCTCATTTATCACGACAATCGGTAGAACCTCCTACATACACTGCTGAACGTTCGGAGAGTGATCAAGTTAGATGGTCACAAGGATCTGAAAATGGTATACCTGGGAATCCAAGGTTGTATTGAAGAGCATTCGACATCGATGATTTTGTTATTGATGTAGGTATGTAGCGGTAGTGATGATGATCTGAAACAAAAGTAGAAATTAGAAGGAATTTAAATCTTGGTTTATTGATATTTGTTATGGACATTTGTTTTACTGGTTTTCCTTTTTTATTAGATAGATGCATCGATTATGCTTATGCTTCACTTCTCTCACCGATTTGATCAACGAAGATTTCACCAAGTGTTCTTCGATACCGACATTGGATTGACCTAACTCACTTATGCTCATCGTCCACACGAGCCGAATGTGACCAGACAAGAGATCCAATGGAAACTCTGGAGCGAGCAATGTCTCACTCATCCGTGGCTGATTGATCAAGGCGGAAATGAGTTGTAAGTATGATAGGAGGATAGTCGCATGAGGGACGTGATCATTTCAACAAGAACAAGAATGATAAAGTCGATTTTACACTTGCATGCATTATCATTTCTTCTTGAAAAACCCTTGTAATGTACTTTGTCCCGATCCCCCTCTCTTGGGTGCTACGACGGGAGGTGGTTTCATCTTCATCTTTGATGCTTGCGTTTTATTTTCTTCTTTCACTTCTTTCAAAGTCGGAGACGAGTCATCATCGCCAGAAATAGATTCTTCCGACCAATAATCTTTTGTCACTGATGAATCAGCGATCTCCTCGGCTCATATGAAGCCATGTCCACCTAAGACCCTATAGAATCAAAATACTCGATAAGGGTTCAGTGAATTCTGGAGGTTGCACGAGTCCGTCAAGCAAAGCGAAAAAAGAAACAGCTGACTACCGGAGAAGTGAGGAAGGAGAAGTATTGACAGACAAGAGAGAAAACTCACCCATATATCCCTTTTCGTTCATCTCCGATTTACTCTTCTTGACTTTCCGTCTTTTTCTTCCTCCCTCCACTATCGTATCTCCATCTCGTTTTTCAGACTTGTTTTTGATAGCTTTTTCACCTGAATCGAACTCGGCTTCTTGATCTGAATCAGAGTTCATATCCACGTCCATACTCATCATGGCTTCCATAGCTGCAGTATCATCTCTTTGTCTTTGAGATGAGCTGGGGTTGGTGGTTGTTGAAGGCTCGGCATGGGAGGACACGGGGTTGTTGGGTTGGTTGGGAGTGAGGGACGGTTTCTTCTTTGATTTATCTTTACTCTGTGAAGTCTAGATATAAGCCTTTCATTCATTCGATAATAATCGAATCTACATTTGTATTGGAGAAGACGAGTATATGAGTGGCAGCAAACCAAGTTGTCGCAAATGCACGGAAAGGGGGAAAGAGTGATAGAGGTCATTGTTGAATCTATTCGCAATGGGGAAGTTTGAGAAGAAAGAATAAGACGAGAAGGAGAAAGTATATATATACTGACTTTGGGTT